TTTTGTGGTTATTAATCGAACCGAATCGAGATACAAACCGAACCGAACCAAACCGACTTACGTGGTTATGGTATGACCAAAAATTTGGTGGTGCGGTTATGGTTTTGGCCGAACCCACCCCGAACCGTACCGTTGCCATCCCTAGATTGATGTGATTCAAAATGCGTTAGAAAGATAATTCAAAAGGATACAATTCTTATAGAGGTAACCTTGTCCAAATTTCAATGTTTTCTATGTGAAAAATGTGTTTCAAGTTGCGATTGAGAATTTGGAACATAACTTGTGCGGCTCTTTGGCATTCTTTAAATTTTTAATTGCATTTCCTTAATCATATGTGATCTTCTTGGACATCTTGGACTCTTTCGAGGATTATACTCCTAACCCCTACTGTTTTGACTTCAATTAGGATTTAATAACTCCTATTTTGACTTTGATTACAGCTCGATAAATTCTTAATACAATTCAAGTAGGACTTGAATTTGACTAAGAAATCAATTACAAATTTAGAAATTGTCAATTATATATTTTGGTCTTAACAGATTATCGATTTGATGACTTCGTCCATTTGTTCATTTTCATCTATAAGTTTCTTATTAGTAGACTTTGTGGACAAATTCCTATGGAAGTAGCAATTTTAATACGTGAAGTGTATTACTCATGGATTATGTGGGACTTATTCAACTAGAAGCAACGCTGGCAGGTTTTAACATGTGTCATCTTTTGATTGACTTGAAATCTATTTTCTTTCCATCTTTTTGGATAAGCATTTTTATAACTAACGTTTTGTCATTCATGCTTGTTGTATTAGGTTTTGTCTTCCTCAAGCAGGCAGAAAATGAGACAAAAAATGAGAAAGTTACTAAAAACGTGTATTTTTCTAGACTGTGTAGTCTCTATCAATAGCCCCACGACCCCACCTGTATTAAATCATGAAAATGCCCTCTATGAAAGGAAATAATGCATTTCACAATATAAATTGATATCAATGCCCTCAAACTATCAAAGCTAATAAGCCTTATCCTTCCTTGCATTTCTAATCTAACTAAATATAAAAGAG